AATTATCAGACACTTTAAATTTGGATATCTGTATGGAAAATAGGTGGCCTTTGGCATATACTCAATGGGAGTTGTAGCATATCTTTTTGAACACTACTTTTAGCCATAGTGTTATAAAAATGCACAAGGTCATGAAAATAAAATAATATACGCAGGTATATAGATCCAGTTGTGTTGATATTATTGTCTAGAATCTACTCTTGAATTAAGCCAGGAAAAATGTCTTTAGTTTATATACTTTACTTTTTTGTTAATTTTTTTTAAATTTTATACTGGTTTGCTTGCAAAGTTTGTATAGTTGTGTTTCACACTACCCTTTACATTGTGTTTCATATCATTCCCATTCATTATGTTTTATATAATTAATCATGATTGAACTATGCCCACCATCACCCTGTCTTTCCCAATGCCTGCCAGATCTTTCCCATTTCTGTTACCTCCTACTCCCTCTACCCACCAAATTGTGTTACCTTATGATTTACCCCTGCCCATCTTCACCTCTCTGCTTCCCTGCTATTCTCCTTGCATCTTTATACTTTTTACTAGTTATCTGTTTCTATAGTAATGGTCTTATGCAGTATTTGTCCTTATGAGATTGAGTTAATTAACTCAGCATAATGCTCTTCATTTCCTCCCAAGTTACATAGGTTGTTGTTGTGATGTGCCATCGATTTGCCTGCAACTCTTAGTGATCATATGTACAATGGTCCTAAGCCCTGCTCTGTTCTGTGCCATTCTCACTGTGTCCAACACACCTACTCCCAATACCCCAGTCATTGAATCAATCCATCTTACTGAGGGTCTTCCTCTCCTGAGCTGTCCCTCTCCAAAGACTGGTCCCTCCTTGAAAAGTGGACCCCCCTTGCAATGTGTCCAGTGTATGTCAGACAAAGCTTCAGAATCCTTGCCTCCAAGGAGCAGCCTGGCTTCACCCTCTCCAGGATGAACCTGTTTGTTCTCTTAGCAGTCCATGGTATATTCAATACTCCAATACCACAGCTCAAAGGCATCAATTCTTCTTCTATCATCCCTACTCATTGTCCAGCTCTCTGACACTTAGCAAGTGATTGCAAAGACCAAGGCCTGTATCAGACACACCACAGTCTCCAGAGTGACATCATTGCTCTTCAGCATTTTGGAAAGGTCTCTGACAGCAGACTTTCCCATCGCAATACGTCTTTTAATTTCCTGGCTCCTGGTGCCAAGATTTTTTTATTGTGGAGCCAAGCAAACTAAACTTGTTAACAATCTCAAATTATATAAGAATTTTTAAAATCATTGCTCTTGAGTGCTGTGTAATATTTCATCGTTTGAATGTACTACAGTTTCTCAATCCATTCGATTGTGGTTGGACATTTTGGTTGTTTCCCTGTACTTGCAATAGTATATCACGCTGTTATGCACATTGGTGTACAAATCTGTTTGTGTCTCAGTTCTAACATTCTTGGGAGTATGTTCCTAGCAACGAAATACCTGGGTCATATAGAATATCTATGTTTGGCTTTTTGAGGAAAGACCAAACTAGCTTCTAGAGTGGTTGTGCCATTTTATAGTCCTACCAACAGTTATACTTAACATTTTGATTATCAGTTGTTTTTATAGGGGCACATATCACTATAGAACTTTATTTCACTGGATATTTAGCAACTATTGAATGAATGAGTTTTAAATTTATTATATTGTCACTGTTTTGTTAGCAGTTGCAAATGGTTAAATGCTTTATTTTAGGTTCTTAAACATGTAACTCGTTGCCATTAATGTAGAACTAACTTGCAACTGACTCTCCAGAACGATTTCAGAGGTGTTAAATTGCACAGGAGAAGATTGTCATTCTTTCTCCTAAGAAGCTGCTGGTAGGTTTAGACTGCTTTCCCTTGGGTAGGCAGTGCAACTCCCTACTTACCCACCAGTCCACCAGAGAATTTTCTGTCAAAGAACTCTTTAAAGTATTAAAGAGCAAGGAATTCAGTTTAAAGTCTAAGGTATACCCAATCCAAGCCATAAAACTTCCAGTTATTTCTTATGTATCTGCAAGTTGGACAGTGAATAGGTTGAGAGAAGAAAAACTTATGACTTTGAATTGTGCTATTGGAGAAGAGTATTGAATATACATGGACTTCCTAAAGAACAAATAAGCCTGTTGTCTTGGTGAAACTTCACCTCACATATTTTGGGCGTTTTGCCAGAAAAGGCCAGTCTCATCATGCTGGTAAAAGTAGTTAAATTGTCAGTGAAGGCCAGTCTGATGCTGGCAAAGGTAGTTAGAAGGTCATTGAAAGATACGAAAACCTTCAAGGAGATGAATTGGCATTGTGACTATAACAATGTACTGGATCATGGCAGAAATTGTTAAGATAGAACAAGGTTCAGATCTGTTGCTGATAGGATTTCTGTGAGTCATAGTCAGCTCCACAATACCTAATAACAACATGTAATAATGCCATCAAGATTGTAAATACTTAGGCTGCCTGTGGTTTTGGGGGGTTTTTTTTAGTTTGTAAGGGCTGAAGTGTTTTGGTGTGTGAAACTCTTTCTTGGTAAGACTATTAATACCATTCTGTGTATTTAATGACTTAGCATGATAGAAGGAGAATTGATGCCTTTGAACTGTGGAGCTGGAGAAGAGTATTGAATATATCATAGACTGCTAGAAGAACAAACATCCTAGAGAGGGTGAAACCATCCTTCATCCTAGGGAGGGTGAAACCAGCCTACTCCTTGGAAGCAAGTATTCTGAAACATTGTCTAACATACTTTGGGCGTGTTGCAAGAAGGAACGAGTCTTTGGAGAGGAACATCATGCTTGGAAGGGTAGAGGAACAGCACTAACAGGAAGACCCTTGATGAGATGGATTGACTCAGTGACTGGAGTAAAGGGGATAGATGTATCAGAGACAATAAGGTTGGCTCAGGATAGAGTAGGATTCAGAGCTATTGTACATAGGGTTGCTATGAGTTTTAAGTGATTCGACGGCACATGTTTTTAATAATGTGATAATAATTATCTGATGAAGTAACTGTTGTTTCTTTGTGCCACTGAATCAACAACAACTCATTATGACCCTATGAACAACAGATCTCAACCTTGTCCTGTAAGGTACCATCCTATTATCTGCAGTATCCTTGATCTTATTGTTGCAGTCACAGTATCAGTCTGTTTCTTTGAGGATCTTCTTCTATTTCTTTGACCAGCTGCCAGTGTAATATATTTTCTAGGAGTGGGTGCTCCTGACAACCTGCCCAAAATATGTGA